CGCTCCCCCTCTGCTGCGACTTCCGCAGGATCGGCGCTCGCCTCTCTGTGGCCCTGAGACCTCGCCATGTGCCGCACATCTGTCGCTCCATGTGACGCCCGGGCTGGCAGCAGTGAAAGGCCCCTGCTCGTCCTCCTCTGCTGTCTCCTGGAGCACTTGGACTGCAGTCGTTAAGTGCATTTAATCTCAGAGTCTGGTGAAGTGGTTAAATGTCCAAAAATTCAAAATAGCACAGTGAATCTTGGATCAGGAGTGCAAGCTGTTCCAGGACAGCAGCTGCGGGCTGGCGGCTGTGAGGAGGACACTCACGCTGCTGGACCTCGGCCTCGCCAGGGCCAGAAGTGGCCCTTTGTGCCCTAACCGCAGTGTGGCCTTGGGGCAGAGTTCTGCCAGTCCACCTCAGACCTGCTACCTGCTGGGTCCCACCCTGCCTCTCTCTCACCCTCAGGGAAGCATTGCAGCCCTTGGGTGTTGTCCTGTGCTGTGCCCAAGCCGTCTTCGCCAAGGGAAGGGTCTCAGCCCCCTCAGGTTCCTGTTTACTCTCATTATTGCTGGATTTACAAGATCATTTAAAGTGCATTCGTCACAGTTTCAAACTCTCTTAAACTGATGCTTATAATCTGATAAGAGCTAGTCACACACAACCTGCCAAGTACAGAGGCCCAGGAAGTGTGAAGCCCCAGGACCCCGGGGACCCTGGGTACCCAGTCAGGGATGGATACTCACAGGCCACTGGTTAGATCCAGTTTTTTTCTCAAAAGTCCGTACTCCTTAAAAGCTCTGTGGTTATTATTATTGTATTCTTTCTCTTGAATATACATTAACTTCAAAGGTGTTGATTTAGAAGAGTCTAGAAAGTAGCATTGTTTGCCACTGGATCTTCTTAGGTGCTTCATCGAGCCGTTTTAGGGTGCAGTGTTGGCATTTGTTAAAATTGCCCCTGCTGTTTTCCAAGTACCTGAGACAGGAGATGTGCACTATGCAGGGCAATCAGGAGCTGGTCAGTCAGTGGCTTGCAGCCCAGGAGATGGGGACCAAAGCGTAATGGTGGCCCTGTCTGTGGCCGCCCCTTCTGCCCTCCTCAGAGGCACATGGAGTGGCTTTCAGGGCGAGTGCTGCACAGGAGAGGCCCTAGCCTTACCCCAGTGAGGCTGCTGTCCCTGTCCGATAGCCACATTCTCCATTGTCCTCAGGGTCCCTCCCACTCGCTTAGCTGCCAGGCTGTGACTCCCAGAGCTCAGGGGAACTTGTGTAGTATCCTTGGAACATGGTTTTGGGTAAAGGTTAAATGTTAAAATCCACCCACCCTTAAACTGCCTGTCAGGGACGCCGACCCGGACAGTGGTGGTGAACCTGTGTCACACGTGCCACAGCCGGCTGTTTGTGTCATTGAGAGCTCTGGAGGTTTGCCACCATTGCTCACACCCTGCAGAGTTGCTCTTATGGAACTGGCCACCACCTGGGCTGGAAGACTCGGTAAGGAGTTCTTTGGAGCTCACTGCATCTTCTGCACCTTACTGTAGGTTCTTGTTTTATGCAACAGTGCCCCATTTGTTTAGGGTAAATATGTTCAGATGCAAAAAATTAAAGGTACAGGGCAGGGAAGAATAGTTTATAAACATGTATGGCTGAAAAATCACACTGGATCCAAGACATCTTGCCAATCCAGTGTGTGATGAATCGGAACAGGGTGGGGTGCTTACCCGAATCTGGGTCCCCCAGAAGAGATAGCGAGCCAACAACAGGGGTGTAAGTAGTTCTCTGGGGATGCGGTGAGGAAGTAGAGGGGCAGGGACTGCATCCCCTCACCAGGCCATAGTGCCAGGCACTCGGGACTTCAGGGAGGAGAGGTTGGTTCGGCTCACAGTTTCAGAGGGTTAAATCCATGGCTGGCGGGCTCTGAGGCAGATACACCATGGCAGAAGAAATCTGCTCCCTCTGTGTACCAGAAGCAGAGAAAACGGAGGAGCTGGGGACGGGAACACATGTTGCTGGCTCACACCCCCGTGGGTGGTTATCTCCGGAGAGGCCCTGCCTCACAGCTGCACGTCAGCCAAGAACTCAGCCGTGGGCAAACCCTCTGACGAGTGCACGCCCACAGTGCAGCCTCTGGATGTGTAGGAGGGGGAGGCGCTTTCCAGACCTAGACCCAAGCAGCGACAAAGTACAGAGCAGGCAGGTGAGCAGCCCAGGGCCCTCCACAGGTGATCTCATGAGCCAGCGCCTGCCCCACATTCCACCTCTGCATAGGCGAGCGCCCCCGTCACTGTGACGGGCGGGGTTACCCTGGCTATGGCACAGCCTGGCACCCGTGGAGGCATGCCGCATGCCCCTTGCCTGCCCCCACTCCATGCCCGGGTTCCAGGCGGGGCTTTCCTCTGCGTTTGTGTGAGGCGCGGCCCACGGGACTGGGCTGAGTGGGGAGCACAGCAGAAGCCTGCTCCTCTCCAGGCCAGCCGAGACCTCCCTGCCACCTGAACCGTCCTCCTCCCGCACCCTCCCCACGTGGTAGGTGCCCACACAGATCTGGCCAGCTCTCCATACACTGCTGCAGAGGTGACTCTCTGGGCACCAGTCCACCCTGTGGACGCTGCGTCAGGGACTGTGCTGTCTGGCCAGTGACAGGAGTGCATGCAGCTCTCTTTCTTGGGTGGCTGCCTCCCAGGTCCTCTACGATGCACCTGCCTTGGTTTGCACACACACACAGGGCCCCTGCTCTGGGGCTTCGCAGACTGAGGGGAAGCGTCCAGGCCTGTCTTCCACTCTGGCTGGGATCCTGGGCCCTTCTGTGGCCTGTGGATGAGTCACTGCCTCCTGCCACTGCCTTCACGCAGCCACGCTTATTTGTCTGTGTCCACGTTTCTCTCCTGCCATGGTCTAGGACTCACCCTGCCGAGGCCAGGACGAGCCCATGGCTCAGTCACATCTGCAAAGCCCTGCTTCCAAGGAGTCGCATCCACGGGTGCTGGGTGTTAGGACTGAGATAGCTTCTGGGGGACAGATTTCAACCCCCAGTAGGATCCCAGAGGAGCCATCAGGACCCTCCCGGGAAATATCCCCCCAGGACAGGGCAGGACGCCTGTCCACCTCCCAGGAGGCCCCTGAGGTCCCAAGACCCCCAGTCATCCTGGGGCAGTGCGACCGTCCCTTGTGAATCCAGTGCCCCCTCTGTTCCCGCAGCCGCTGACCGTGCTGACTGGAGCCACCGTGCCCCTGGGGACAGCCCAGCTCTTTTGTCCACATTTTCTTTATTGGTTCATGTTCACAGCGCACGATGTCACACCCCTCGTGGGAGGTGGTAGAAGTACACAGCACAGCGTCTTCATCCCTTCTTCTCCCCGCATCGCGATCCGCTTCCTTTTCTGTGCCTGTTCGCAGCATAATAAAAGATGGGTTATAGGAGGTAGGGAGCCAGCCCATTCTCAGAGGGGGTGGAGGAGAGGAAGCAGCACAGGACAGGGTGAAGAAAGGAATTAAGCTGTGCTAGTGCCTGTCTATCCCTCTTTCCACACTGCTTTCCACCGAGACACCCAAGAGCACTGCGGACCACACACACAGCCACCCTGCGTCTGGCTGCAGCGGAGCCCTGGGAGGGGTGCTGCCCACCATCCACTGGGGAGCCTGCACCACGGCTCCTGTGGGAGGGCACGGGAAGTGTGTGTCCTCCTCCGTGGTAACCTGGCTTCAGCGCCACGAGTGAGAGCTCAAACCCTACTGGGATGAGGCAGTTTGTCAAATATGTTTATGAACCCATGGAGTTAGGAAAGCAATTCTGTGCCATTCAGTTCAGTAGTCCTCTTTCCTTCTTTTGGTACTGGGGATCGAACTCTGGACCTTGTGCTTGCAAGGCAGAGCTAAACCCCCGGCCCTGTTAGCCCTTTCTGCTCCTCTGTTTGCACTCAGGAGACCTTTCTCCGGGCACCTCTTGTGTTTCTGAATAGCTACAGGTTTTGTTTCAAGCTGCCCTTTTTCAAATCATTCTAGCAGATAACCTTGGAAGGCAGAGACAAGCTCTGCTGCACTCCGTGGCACAGGGCATGCTCCTGTGGCCGTGGGTTAGCAGCATCTCCTGTGCACAGTGCTTGGCAGGTGCACCCAGTCCCTCTAAGGTCAGGATTTCCTGTGCTTGGGTCCCTGAGCTGTGACACACCCACCCACCCACCATGTGTGGCCCGGCTCGGCCCTGACTCCCAGGGACCTAAGACAACCCAGAGGTCCCTGTTTCTGATCCAGGAGCTGGAACTGAGGTTGCCTGTGTCCTCCTGGGGCAGGATCAGACCCCAGGTCCACAGTGCCGGTGCGTTTCCCAGGACGACGGTGCAGTTACTTCTTCCTTCCCGATACAGCTTTCGTTTATTAGAAAGCAGCCTCTTTCCCCTGCTTCCAGCGAGGTTTGCAGCTGCCCTTCAGATTCCCTTGCCAGCAAACCTCTGTAAGGAGCATGTTTCTTAGTCAC